AGTTTGATGTTAGAAAGAAAAATGTTTAAGCTAATACCGATTCTTGCTGTTTTTTAATAATAGATGTTTTTGGGGCTGTTTATTAACTACGTCAACAATTTGTTTGAAATTTTAACCTTCCCCCCCCCCCCTCCCCCTTGTCAACAATTTGTCAAATTTCCAGAGACCCCTCCTAATAAAATTACGTCAACTTTTGATTACCCCCCCCCTTCCTACACAAAGAAACTACGCTACAAACTCAGCCTAATTTTCCGTTATTTAAGCAATAAAACTCAAAAAAAAAAAAAAATTGTTGACGTCAACTTTAATTGACCTCTCCCGCTCCACCGTGTCAAAAATTGTCAAAAAAGTTCAGACCCCCTCCCCCCTATTTTGTTGACGTAATTAATGAACAACCCCTATATTATTATTTTACCACTTTTACATTTGTTTTTTTTATATATTTAACGGACTTGCTAATTTTTAAATTTATATTTTTCAAAAATGTATACTTTAGTTTTTAACTTTATATTTACGGAATTTATCAAGAGGCTTGACAATAAGACATATTAGTCTTCTTCTCGACCCAGCTACTTATATATCTTGCTAGTAACTTACAAACTGTATATATATATACATGTCAAAAAAAAATATCTTGGCTAACAATCTCTTAGTGTTAGTCTTAGTTTTTGTGCCCGCGGATTTTAAGAACTGTTGCCATGAATTTTAATTCTTACATCACGATGAAATAAAATAAAAATCTTTCTTAAAATAAAAATCTTCCATTATTCATGGTTGCCTCAAGTTTGCAGAGATTATAAGGAATGCCTGTTAAAACGCGATGAAGTGTATAATAATAATACAGGGTTTTGCAAAGTTGTAAGTGCGTGTTTCCAAAGTTAAAGTGCATGTTTTGAAAAGTTATTGTTTAATCATAATATTTTAAAAAGGCATGCAAAAATATACATTATTTAAAAAAATAAACAAATCATTTTAAATATTTTAATTAGATAAGTTCTTCTTTTCTTATTGCCTTTTCCAACCATCTTCTCATATTTATATAAAAGGCATTGCACTGTTGACTATAATTTATTATCAGGTGATAAAATATATTCTAGAGTTTCTTCAACAGTCATATCGGGATTAGCATTTCTTGTGGATTTGATATTGAATTTTAACATTGAAAAGAATTCTTCGATTGGGTTCAATTCAGGGGAGTATGGTACTAAAAACTTGTGAATAATATTTTTTTTTCTTAGTAATTGCAGCTGCTTTATGAAATTTTGCATTATCTAGGATAAGAATTTTATTTGGATTTACTGTAAAGTTGATGAAATCAATAAATGATTGTGTATTATATGTGCCGCTTTTGTATTGGTAACATTCAACTCCTAAATTGGAAATTAAGCACATGAGGCTAACATACTTTCCTTTATTTGCAGGAACTGTAAAGTACGCTTTTGTATCTTTTAAAGAATAGCCATATGAGCGCACTGTATGTTTATTGAATCCGGTTTCGTCTAAAAAAACAAATTTTGAATCAGCAATTCTAGCAACATCTGCCGCAAAAATTGATCTCTGATTTATTCTTTCTGATTGTTTCTTTCTTGAGGAATGATTGCTAATCTTTTTTGTGTCAAATTTAATTTCTTTAATTTACGGGAAGCAAACGAGATTGAAACGTTTTTACCATGTTTTTCTAAAATTTGCGTTTGAATTTCTTTTTGAACTACGGCATTGTTACAGACCACGGAATTAAATATTGTCTGTTCAATGTTTGTATTTATAGAAATTTTGATTTTATACGTTTCTTTTCTTTTTACTGTAGATGACGTGAAGGGTATAATATTATCACTATTTTGGCCACACAAAGTCGATGTTTTTTGGCCACCAAATGCTTTAATCACCGATATATTGTATCTTCTTTTAAGTAATGTTCCGAAATTATAGTTTGAGAAGGAAACACTGCCAACGGTCGTTGACAAACTTTACAACAAGGTGAGACTGTCAACTTGGCAAGTTATACGAAAATTTTGAAGAACAATTCTCTAACTGAGTTCAAATTAAAAAGTTTTATAGTTTCAAACGCAATGGGGTTTCTTGCTATCAAGCAAAAAAAATCAAAAAACGGCCAAAATAAAGCAATTAGGGGCCGTCCATAAAGTACGCACGCTCATAAGAGAGAAGAAGTTTCTTCAAACAGTGAACAAAAGCGTATCGGGGTGGTGAGGGGGGAAAGGATTCAATATAAAAGTACATCAAAATTAGTAATGTTTGTTTTTCTAATTTATGACAGCTAACAAGTACTTGTTAATAACTAAATGTTTTTGAAAAATTAACAACTAAAAAAAATTATAAAACCATACCCTATCATCATTGTCCAGAACTGGCCAGCTTACCAATAGAAAAGTTAATTTTCTGACTAAAAGTCTTTGTTTGCCAACAAAAAAGGATGTATGGTATAAAGGAGTCGAGGGTATAGTGTACCTCTATACACACACATGCCACACCTTAAACACTGGCCCAGACTGAGGCGGACATGTATTTTAGGCAACCCCTTTTTTGAGCCTGCAAAAAACAGGTTTTAGAAGTGCCTTGGCTAATGGGTTGAAATCCCCAAAAATAAACTTTTATTAGGGCCCCAAAATCTTAAAAATCTTTTCTCCAGGTATTGCTAACTAAAAAAGTTCCTACTTAAAGTTAGCTACCCTCAAATTTCAAAACAACACATGTAAAGTAACTTTTTCTTTAGCCATATAGTAAACATTATACTGACATTAAAAATACCAAAAAATACATAAAATGGTAGCTCGTTCCTTTGGCAGCCAAAAAATAGCAAAACAACAAAAACTGTGTTTACGCCTTAAAAAAAATAAGTATTATGAGTAAAGGAGTCTCAATAAAATTTTGTAGAACTGTTCTAAATATGAAAATTTGTGATATGAGCGAAGTAGATTTTTGAATAAATTTTTTTTTTTGATAAAAGGCTCCAGACAAATTATGTTATTAAAAAAAAGGTCAAAATACAAAGAAAAAAACTAAATAACTTAAAGTTATATGAGAAATTCTACTCCGTTTATATCATAAACATTGGTAAAATGAACAATCCCTGAAAATTTCATCATGATAGCATGTATAATTTTCAAGATTTTTTTCCCGGGGTGTTTAAAAATTAAACTCTCAGAAAACGCAATACAAAAAAAAAACATAAATTATGATTTATTTCATAAAACTACCAGATTCATATTATTCCTTAGACTTTTCTATTGACTTTTGATGATTATCTTTTGATAATCGTTAACGCCGTAACATCTTTCGTTTCATCTTAAAACTTTTACTCGATTTAAATAATGATAGTTTTATTCGTTTTTTGTTAATAAGTCTGCAACCAGCTAAAGTAAAATGTCCTGGTTTCATATATAGTTTTTCATAAATTAAAATAATAGACTTCATATCAGTGTTATAATTTGCAACAGCATTGTACACTCCGAACTCTAAACTGGCTAAACCAACATAACTATTTTTTGGTAATCTATCCCATATTAAACTATAAAAACTCTCGTTACAATTCTGGTTTTTGCCATGCAGACACTTTACTAAATCAGAATCTTTACTTAAATCAACATATAGTGGCTTGATTTTGTGAAAAATATCCGCAGGAATTCCTGACCCAGGTTCGGAAAAAGACTTAGCTTTATCAATGTTGAATTTGCACCAACTATTACCTCCAGTAATGTGATAAAGTGGAAAGTAAATATGATAGTTATTTTCTTTACAAGAAACTACATGGAAAAGGCATGGAAACTACATGGAAAAGGCATGGAAACTACATGGAATTCTGCTTTTTTCATTTTATTCAAATCATTTGTTTTGCTCCAGATAGCTACACCAAATAAATTTTGCAAGCGATCTTGGTTTGCATTGGTTAGTCGACCACAACCACCTAAACCCTTAATTTTTTTTTTAAGTTGCATAAGCGAGTACCGACTCGTTTTTGGTAATATCCTACACACCCCAACTTTTTTACTTCCATGTTTGGGTATAAATCTTTGATAGAAAGATGGGATTTACTATCCCTATCACCAAGAAATTGTGTATATCTTAACATGTGTTTTTTGATGGAACGTTTAAAAACTCTCACTGCGCCGACTGATTCCATACCACCAGCTATACCTTGATAATTGTAGAGGCAAATATGTTTGTTTTTCCAATTAGCATATGCATCAGGATTTAATTTTTTTAACTGCTCCTTCATACAGCAAGCTTTACATGACTTATTCATAGGTTCAACATCGATTATTTTTCCATTATCTATTAAAATTGCGGTTAAAACTCGATTCATTGACTGATATTCTCTTTTCTGCCACGATCCATTGCATGATACACCAACATCAAGAATATCATCACTAGTTGCATTTTCTTTTATTTCAGTTGTAGCATCTGACATTTTTTCGTTTGCAACACTTTTCACTATGTTTTTATTTTTGTCGCTATTTTTGTATAATTTGTGGGTGTCATGGGTTTTGGCATATTCATGAGTTGAGTAAATTTATCAATATCAGTATGACCACGGCCTAAGACTCTCATTGCTTTTTACTAGTGGAAGACTTGTTTTAAAAGACTTACTAAACAGGGATGCCTGGTTTAGTTAAAAGCAGAAGTTCAGTAGATTTAAGAAAAACATAATGAAAGAGCGGTGTAATACAATAATGTCGGTCTCTTGTTTCCTCAATGAATAGAAAATATTCAAAAAAGCATGAGGATCCTATAGAAATTTGTAAAACATATTTTACACTGTGGCTTCATTATTCTTTTATGTTTAGGTATGTTATTTTTTGTAACTAAGACGTTTTCTAGTAATAAATGTGTACATTATACGGTAAAAAAACATTTTTTCGCAAAAAATATTAGATTAATGGGATTTTTTGGCCGTTATTATTTTTAACTTAAAATTAATTTCTTCGGGTTTCAGTTCCTTAAATAGAAGTATTGTTATTTAGGTTTGTGTAAATTAATTTAAAACTTTGTTATGGTTTATTAAACGAATAAATTATATAAAAGTGCATTACTAAACAAACACATTTTTGAACGTATTTAAAATCATGCAAGTATATTATTAAATGAATAAACTACCGAACGAAAACTCAATTTGGATCCACTAGCTTTTTCATTTTTGTTAATTCTGCTTAGCGAACATCCCAATTTAATAAATGGCTTATTTATCAGTCCAAAGTTTATTATATTACTATGATTTGTAACCTGGTGAAAGCGAAAAACATCCCACTATTGTCAACACATATAACACTGCAAATCCAAAAAAAGCGCATTTGTCTAAAGTAATAGCCACAATTTTCCATTCGTTTATAAGTTTAACTTTCAGTTCATTTCTATGAATTTCTTCAGTAAAACAATCCATTTTTGCTAGTGTTTTGACTATGTTTGAGGAAATTTCTTCTTGAGTAGTCTTTATATTTTGGATCGTACTACTGTCTGGTGTTTTCTTTTCAATTCTACTCTCAATTTTTTCAAAACAAAAATCTTCTAGTTTAGATATACTTGTAAGTGTACAGTTTGATTGGTAGATTAAACTATTATAATCTATGACAAGTAGGTTGCTTGACTTCGAGTTGTCTCCAGTAGGTAAAGGTGAATCTTGATTATTTTTATGTATTTTTAGCAGATTTGCTAACCAATTTAGAATGAACCTTAAATATTGAATTTACAAATTAAAATAAACTTTGCTTCAATTCTCAAAAAATTTATAATTTATTATGAATAATTACAATAACTAAATAAATGATGAATTACTTTCGCATCCAGTTAGGCATAGGAGGATCACAAGCAGCCTTATGATGCAGAGTCATTATGTAGCACAATATCACGATCATGACTACCATTTCAAAAAATACGGAAAGATAAAATATGCTTACTAATGGCACGGAGTCACTTGTATCAGGAATAATACTGGACACAATCATAGAATATACAGTCAAAGATAAAAGAAGTGCTATTACCAAAGAAATTCGTTCGCCTAAAAAATTAAAAATTTAATAAACTTTCGTATTTGATTGTGAGGTGCTGAGCTTTGTAACGTGGAATGTTTTGTTATTTTGGTCGAACTTTTAAGTGTAAACTATGAACATGACAAATGATACTAAGCATCCAAGACTTTATCAATAATCACGTGTGGTTGAAACACTGTGACAAATACTATAGTGCGTTTGTCACGGTAAAAACGACCAAAACATTCTCATTTGAGTTGTAATTGTTAATTATAAAGATTTTGATTGTTGTAGTAATAGCTATAACAACAATCTTTTTTTACTTAGCAATACTTTTTACTTTTAATTAAACTTTTTTTTAAGATATTTAAAAAAAAAAAATTAAAAATTATTGTTGTTTCTTCAAAGAACAATAAGGATAAACAATATATTTACTTAACAGAGGGTGAATGGAAAAAAACATTTTCCGAATCATAAGCACTCCTTTAATTTAATTTTATTAATAATAAACAACTCTTGCTTTTGCTAAACACTTTAAAACAACAAATAATAATATTTCCGAAAATTGCATAATATGTCAACAAAAAAAATTTGAAGTAATTGCACATGCAAGCTAAGAATGTTTTTTAAGTAAAAATTGGAATTAATTTCTAAATGCACGCATGAAATGAAGTTTATATACATATATATATATAAAATCATGATTTTATATATTTTATACATTTTTTTTAGGAAGTAGATTTGAAAAATTACAAAACAAACCTGAATCAGAGGGTAATACAAATGATAGGATAGGAAGCAAGCTTATAATAACTAGCGGAAATATAAGATTGCAAACATAAAACAACGATCTTCTTCGTAATTCTATGGTATATGTAACGTCAGGATAAACTTCTGGGCAGCATATATACATTTCTTCCTTTCTGATAGCTTTTGCACTAACCAGATACCACTCTGTGTGGTTTGCAAACTTATCTAAACATTAAAGCAAAATGATCAAGACACCCGAACAAATGTATAAAAACTTTTTTACATTTAACGTTTTAAAAAAAAGCTTATATGTTTCAAATCAAAAAAATTTTTAAAGTTTCAAAATAATAAAAAATTAACTTAAAAGAAAACGTTTAAAAGCTAAAAACGATGAACTTTTAGTTACAATTAAATAGTTAATTAGCAGCTTTGATTTCTTGAGAAAAAATTTAAGTATATATAAATGACTAATAATAATAAGCTAAAAATAATTAAAATGGATATATAATTTAAAAAATAAGTAGTAAGTATGTTGAACACACTAAGTATGTTGAACATGCATCTCTTGTTGTATTATGTATATACATATATATATATATATATATATATATATATATATATATATATATATATATATATATATATATATATATATATATATATATATATATATATATATATATATATATATATATATATATATATATATATATATATATATATATATATATATATATATATGTATATATATATATATATATATATATATATATATATATATATATATATATACATATAAATAATATATTTGTATATATATATATATATAAATAATATATTTGTATATATATACGAGCTTAAGTTTACTGTCGAAAGATGAGGGTGTGACCTAGTTATTTTATTCATGCGGTGAGGGCAATCAAATAATAAAATTTTGTTTCACTATCTAGTTTTAAATTTACTTGCAGTTTTTTGATTTCATTTAATTATATTTTAGTGTTTGACCATGTAAAACTCTTATTTAGAACTTTAGATTTCACCGATCTTGAAATGATATGGATTAAATTTTTAATAAACTTGCATTAGATTTTTAATAAACTTACTGCGGACTGCAAGATTACTTACAGTCAACAGTAAGATATTTGGTATTTTGCCTTTGAACAGTCAAATGTTTATTTTGCAGAACAGATATTTTATGGAAATATTTTGAGTTTTTAAAGTAATAACTTACAGACTATGAGTTAGCAAACTATTTTATAGCTATTTTATAAAAAAAAATGCGTCAAGTTTTAAATGACATTTTGTTGTATTAGATGCAATGAACATTAGAGTAAAAAGGACAAGCACTTTAGATTAGACTATTTTGTCAAAAGAATTTTCAGTGTCGTCATCCAAACGATGTAATTATCATTTATTGGTGGAGCTAAAAATAATTAAATTACAACAAAAATTTTTTTTTCCTGATCCTGTACTTGGTATGGAAGCTGTGAATTCTTCAAGTAAAATTAACGCACTCTGTGAAAATTGATAAAGAAACTGTGAAGTTAATAAAAAATATTTATTACCCACCATAACAGATGATAGCTGTTTGCCAATAGAAATAGATTTTTGACACGTCATGTTACTGAACAATTAAATACCGAACATTGGTTTCCTGGTTAATTACTAATAATTTCAGAATGATTTTATGGAATTTTTTGTAAGTATCGGTTACTTTTTGTAAAAGTCGGTGAAAAACACGGGCAAGTACCATTATCTAAGCTAGTTACTTTACCTTTGAAAAGCTACTCAAAGCAGTTAGGTTTGTTAATGGAGATTTAAACTTACATGGTTGCCATGCGTATCACTAAGTTGCTTTATTAGCAGCATCAGATTTTATCAGAAAAAACGAATTTTTTTTTACAGATGTATGTAAGTTAGACAAAAAAAAAAAAGCTTAAACAGGCTTAAACAGGCAAAGAAAATCTAGACGCTTTTTCGTAATATTTCTTGGTGTATGAGTCCAAAACGTCAATACAATAAAAATAAAAAGATATATAAAAAGAGTGTTTAAAAAAAGTATTTAGTATATGTACATTATTTTGGTTTTTGCGTTTCAAGATTAATTGGTTATGGTTTATGCTAAAACTCTGAGTATCGTGTCGTTTTAATATATCCTCAATATTATTTTTTTTCCATTTAAATTTTTTTTATTTAAATGTACTTAAAATTGAAAAATTTCAAAAAGTTTTTCAATTTTAAGCTTAGAAAAATCATAAAATGAGCATATTAAATAATTTACAATACTTAAAATGTTCATAACTAAATGTGACAATGAATTACTTATAGTTCTTTTATTTATTTCTTGTTTAATTGTAACCTTATACCTAGCTTTTTAACGTTAGCAAATTACGTTGGGCTAAAGTTAAAATATCGGAAAACATCGGAAGCGTTGGGTCATTGTTCTTCCAACGTTAGATAACATGTTATTCTAGCTTGGTAATAAATTTATATGAACTTTTCTACCAACCTATTTAGTTGTAAAATGAAAAAAATTTTAAGTTTTCTATAAAAGTCTATTTACTTACCAAGAATTGCAGAATCTCGATCATTGATAATGTTTAAGCGATGCATATTATGCGTCCAACTCCCAAATTTAAGCGGGCATTTTTGGGTATCAAATGGAAAGTATTTTAAATTCATGTCACAATTACTTGATAAAATAAGCGGTGTTAACCATGTTGTGTAACCTGTGTTATCAACAATGACGCGACTTTTCAACGTTCCAAAATTTTCAGCAAATAGCCTGTCTTCAGCCACACTAGAAGTATGTAAAAAAAATGTATTATATACAAAAATAAATTAAAAGAAGCAGAAGACGTGCATTGGTACTTGCTCTAAGGTTTTGCAACACACCTCTAGAAATAAATCTTTTGTTTATACTCACAAAACTCTTCCTCATTCCAAAAATATGAAAATAACAAAAAACTTATTCAAGATAGGTAACTAAAAGTCATTTGGAATTCTTAAATTTGATGTTAATTTTAGTACTGAATGAGGATGTCTAGCATAGAGCTTAGATAATTGGAGCTAATCCAACCTTGTCCCAAACTCTTATTTCCCTAAACTTAGAACTACTCCTCATAAATTTAAATTTGTTCTTTTATAAATTAGGTCAAAATTTATTGACAAATTAAATGTTTTGTCAATAAATCTTATTTTGTTTGAAATAAAGAATTATGTGAAATATAAAACTTTCTCTCATTTACCCCCTGAAATAACTTTACCTGGTCGTAATATAAACAAAAGAATATTTTTTGATTAAATATGAAATATGTTGGTGAATTTTAATCTATATATATAGTATTGAACTTTTTAAAAGCTTTCACTTGAAATGTGTTTGTACTTGCAAACAACAACTGCATTTTCAAGCAATCAAATATACCTTAGAATGTCTTCATCAAATTTTTTTTTGTTCGCCTAAAACAGTTTGAATTCGAAATAAATAAATTTTAAGAGCTAGTTTAATCCAATAACATAAGGGTGTATAGGTGTTAGCCCACAGAAAATTTTATGAACAAAAGTAACTCAAGTTTACTTAATGAAAAGTTGACACAGTTCATGCAAGTTTACAATTTGTCTGTTGTATTAGAAGTATTTAATTAATACAAATAATTGCTTATCAAGTTTTAAATTATTTCTAAAAATTTTTAAAAAGATTTATATTACCAAAGACCTTTCATTTCAATAAGTTCGTTAAAATATTTTTCAATTTGTGTACCTTTAAAATAGTTGTAGTCCGTAGATTTTTATAGATTGTAGAGAACTGCTCTAATTCTTTGAAAAAAGTAGTGCTTCATAATTTTCAAAAACAGCCAGGAACTATTTCACAATCTCTAAGTAATTTAATTATCAGACAGCAGGAGCCATAAAAATAGAAATCGGAAAAAAATGACATTTATGCTTTTGAGCAACTTATTCAGACATTGCCTTCCAATCAGTGCTGGGTTAACAAATAGGTTAGACTAGGTCATAGTCTGGGCCTTCGATAGTTAGTAGACCCTAAAAATTAAACGTTTCTAAACTTTAAAATCTTATTTTTTAATTCAATTGATATTTAGACTAGTTTAATTTTGAATTACTCAGTAATGCAAATAATTTTTAATATTTTATACTTTATACATTATTGTTTAACTTGTTTATAAATATTTATGTAGAATTTTTAATAAATACATTTTTTTAGTTCAAAATAAAGTACACCATACATTTTAATGTAGAATAAAAATTTCAAATAAAATTTTTATGGAAAAAAATGGAATCCCAAAAGTTTTTAGTGTTTAGGGCCTCACTCTTTCTTAATTCGGCACTGCTTCCAACCATTGTATGATACTCTGCAGATATTTAACAAAAATTGACAGATGTCGGTTGACTCACTGAAACCAACACTCCTTAGACATATTAAAAATACACCTGAAATACTGAAAATGGTAATTTTCACAATTCTTTTTTCAACACTGTCAAATATGGCAAGATCTCCATAAAATATTAATGTATTACTCATTTTGATCATTTATTAAAAAAAGATTTTATACTCTCAATACTATAATACTCTTTTATAATAATTTTATAATAAATTAATAATACTCTTTTATTAACAACTTATTATTAACAAGTTAAAATTTTTTTATTTGAGTATGTATCTGACAAATATTAACTATATATTTTATTTATTATTGCTTAAATTGCTACCGGAAAGCTATTAATATTTTTCATTTTATACAATTATTTTTAACTTTGTTACTACTATTATTTTAAACTTATGTTTTAGTTGTCCTAAGAAGACCTAACGGCATTGTTACAGAGCACTTCGAAAGACATTTAGCAAGGAAGTCTACGCCTCCTTCTGAGCAATAAATACGTCCAGAGGTCGCTTCAAACCTTGGATTTCCTTCTTTTAAAGCGCTTGCAAGAAATCCAGTTTCTGTCTTTTGTTTTTTTTTTAATTTTAGAGTAAACAAATTAGAGTATCTATGTCTAAGATAGGTAACTAAATGTAATTGGGGTGTGTGGGGTAGCCTAGCCACGGCTCTGTTGTCACATATTTTTTAGTAACCTATCTTAAATAAAAAAAATCCCTATTTTTTCAATTTTTTTAATTAGATTCTTTGATGCATTGCAAAGTCTTAGACCATATTTCTATGCATCGTGAGAAGAGAACAAGAAGAAGCATAAAAACAATGCTACACACACTTATTATATAGCACAATATCTGGTTTCCAAACTTTCGCAGGATCAACACGTATCTCAGTAATGTTGCTATATTTTTCAGGGTCCCATGTTAAATAAGGATTTTTCCATTTCTAAAAATCAATTTGAAATTATAGCCATGATAAAAATGTTTTCAAGACCTTTAAGCAATAATTTACCTGACTAATCAAGCAATAATTTACCTGACTAATCAAGCAATAATTTACCTGACTAATCAAGCAATAATTTACCTGACTAATCAAGCAATAATTTACCTGACTAATCAAGCAATAATTTACCTGACTAATCAAGCAATAATTTACCTGACTAATCAAGCAATAATTTACCTGACTAATCAAGCAATAATTTACCTGACTAATCAAGCAATAATTTACCTGACTAATCAAGCAATAATTTACCTGACTAATCAAGTAAGACAGTTAAGAAGTAGTACAATAATTTACCTGACTAATCACAGTACTGATTACAAGCAACTGGTTTCTTTCTTGCTAAAGAAATTTTGATCTTTTTATAAAAATTTAAGCGTATAATAGAAATAAGAAAGTTGATTGCTATTATTTATGCAAAAAAATATAACAAATTTTTTTAAAAATAAAGATTAAATTAACTTTAACCTCTATTTTTGAAAATCAAAACTTTTTGACTTTATAACCTTATTATTTCATATAAAATTCTTGATTATAACCTTATTATTTAAAATAAAACTATTAATTGTAAATGATGATACATTTCCTTTTTTTTATGGTTATATACATGCTCATAAATCAACTTTTTGTTGTCATAAAATGTTTAAAGGTTTCAAATTTAATATAAATAAGTAGGTAAACAATTTTTTATGTAAAAATTGGTTGCCATGCAACCAATTTTTATTTATATAAATTCTAGGAAAATAGAGGATAAAAGTTATTTACCACATCTACTAGCTGACACAACATCAATCCAAAAGTAACGTTAACAGTGTCACTATCATTAACAACGGGGCGTACTGCTGGATTATAATTTGCAAATAAATCTTGATGGAGCTTTTCTTCATTTTTGTGGCAAAAAACAACTGAATATAAAAAAAAAATTATATGTAGTTATTGTTTAAAAATTATATTGCGTATAATGATAATGGCACTTTTAACTTATGATGCGGTGTAGTCTTGCAGGGGTGGTTGTACGGAAGTATGTGGGGCGATATTATATTTGGGGATAAGAAGTGTCACCGTCAACAAAATGAAGACCATTTTTAAGTTATTGTTGGTTTTTTGATGAATATAATCAGTTATTCAGGCATTTGATACATTTCAATCTGTAAGTACTTTTTAAGAGTTCACTCCCACCCCTCTCATTTTATTCCTACTCTCCTGTGGTCTTGCCTCTCATAGTTTTTATTTCAAAGTTTTTTTTGGTCTTTGCAGATGATTTAATAAAAAATTCAATGAAGATAGTTCTAGCTAATTTTTTTCTTCCTCAACTTTCTAAATTAAGTGTTTTATATCCTTACCAATATTACTTTATTCCAATATGACGTATATTATTATTTTTGTAATTTACACTCTAAGTTTGTTAGTTTTTCATGATTAATAAAATTTAGAAAAATCATGTTTTAACTCCAATAAAACTCATTCATTAATGCTTAACATAAAATATGTTTGAAAAACTTGCATACAGAAAAGCTACTTACAAAATGGTCAATTCATTTGTACAAAAAATACTTAAGCGATTAAATATTCCTAGCAGGAATACCGTCACGGTTTTTGAAGTGTAGAAGTGGAAAACAATTGTCAATTTCTAAAGAAAGGTCCTTTGTATCTAAAAGTTTCTGACAAAAAAGGTTCTTTTAAAAAAAGTGGGAGGATTACGAGTCTTCCTGGACCTTCCTCCCCTTCTTCTTGAACATCTCATCCTCCTCCTTCCTTTCTACTTGGCGTTTTCAGTCCAGAAAATATTTTCAAAAAAAAAAAAATTATATAATGGATATAACATGGTCTACATTCAATTGTTAAAACTCCTGTCAAAATATAAACCAATTTTAATATGTAAACTAAAAAACTTATATAAATATAAAAAAAAAGAACTGTGAAAAAATGAAACATCAGCAAACAAAAAAGTAAAAAGTTAATTTCACTTATAGATAAAAAAAGATTGAGATATTACGCGTTTTCGCTAACAATATTTGCGTAACTTAACTAGCAGTGTATAAATGAATAATGTAATTACTTTAATTGTTGTTTATTTATTATATGTTGTATATATGATTCAAGATTTATATATAATTTCAATGCTTTTAGCAACTTTCATGAAGATGTTACAGAATTGATCTTTCTATGATATGTTTTCTTCTACAACAACTCTAAGAAGTTTCGTAACTTTTCCCTTTTTTTCTGAAAAATGGGTAAATAGTATATACTTTGTTTTATTAATATTGAGGAACAACTTGTTTGTTTTAAACCAATATAAGATTTTATTTAACTCTGGTGCCATATTATTAAAAAAAGTATTTATGTTTTCATGAGGTTGGAATAGGTTTCTGTCATCAGCAATAACTTCTTTTATGAAAAATATTGTCTCTAATCAACCATGTATTTAACATTATTGGTATAAAAAAAATCAACTAAAAAATGACATCTTGTAAAAATTTTATAAAAAATGTAAAAAGTTACTTTTTACTTTCATTTATCAAATTAGAAACTTTCATTTCTCAAAACTGTTTTTCTTAATTCATCTTTGATGCAAATTCGAAATCTCTATGGGATGGTCTCTAAGGTAATCTGATGGTCTCGATGGTAATTTGATGGTCTCTATGGTAATATGATGGTCTCTATGGTAATATGATGGTCTCTATAGAATGTCAAATGAATCTTTTAAATTACCTTTTGAGTTAACTCAAATTCTTCCCGCTTCTTTTCTAACAATTCTAGCGTATATCATACTCAAAAACCTCAGAACTTTATAACTTATTTTTTGTTTCAAAAAATTTACAAAAAAACATCCACTTATTAAAAAGTCCTAACCTTAAATCAATATTCGTAAAACCTATAAACCAAGATAAAATTGTATTTGTTTTTCTTTTTTAATAATAGCAAGACAGACTCTATTTTTTAAACTCTAAACTTTTTTCAAATGATAATTCTTCTATACTTTCTGAATTATTTTATCTCTCATTCATTACTTGTATATTCCCTCATATTTTAAAAACTGCATCTGTTATACTCCAAAGAAAAATCTCAAAATATAACTACAATAACTACTGGCCAATTTTATCAAACCCCCCTTAGTTTATTTAACCCAACTTTAACCCTATGTCCACAAATCTTTAGAATAATTTAAGTTTTTCTGATCGAGTATTTGAAAACGTTAGAATAGTTTCAGTATTTCTGATTATTCATCATCAAATCTTTAAATTGTTATAAGTATTTCTGATCAAATGTCAGCAAAACTTTAGGATAATATAATTATTTATGATAAAATATCATTAAATATTTCGAATAGTTTGAGTATTTCAGATTAAATATTAGTAATCCTTTGGAATAATGTAAGTATTTTTGTTTTTACCTCAACTTAATCGATTTTGCACATTTGTATTTTTGACAGTTTTTGCTTTAAACATTCTTATTATCATAAGCTTATTCGCATGACTATAATAATTTATGGTGTAGTGGAAAGTGGTTCAGTTACAAATGCAATTTATTCCAATACAATTTGTTGTTTTTTTATGTCATTATTGTTTTTTATAACAATGTTAATATTATTAATACAACCATGTTTTTTTAATTTTTTTAAATTATTGTTTAGTAGCAGGTTTTGCTTTAAACATTCTTATTACCATAAGCTTATTAGCTTTACTATTTTAAGATTCTAACAGTATAAAAAAAATAAATAAATAATAGATTTAAACGATAATATATTTTTGAAAGTGATCAAAAACATTTTTTTTTATCATTAAAATTTTATCATTATTTAAAATTAATTTTCTCCCTATATACATAACTTTTTAATTTAGTTTTTATAACATACAAAGAAAAAAGATAACTCTATTTTATATTATAAAATTTTTTGAATATGTATATATACAAGTTACGAGAAATCCATTTAAAAATGCAAATTTAACGATTTTAAACTTATTTATGGAGCTAGGACTTTTTACAATAGACTACCTATAAAAAACCAAAAAAGTTAGCAGCCCCAATTTGTCCCATTGGAAAATAATATAGTTTTAAAAAGCTCATATTATAGAAAAAACTAGCGACGTAAAAGCTTATACGACGTAATTAACTTCAACTGAGAGTTTTTCCTAACACATCTGAACAAAACTTTTTAATATAAATTTAGTATTATGCAAATACTTAGCTTATGTAGTTATCTATGTCATAGGATGTAAATATATATATATATATATATATATATATATATATATATATATATATATATATATATATATATATATATATATATATATATATATATATATATATATATATATATATATATATATATATATATATATATATATATATATATATATATAGGGGAAAGCGGGGCAACATGGCGAACGTTTTGAAAGCCCTGAGTTATTGCAAAACTAACAGTCGTGAAGCAATAATGCTTTCTCGATATGTTTATGTTATTAAAACGATTCATTGCCTATTTAAATTTCCAGTTTGCTAATATAACAATTTAAAATAAATATTAAAATAAAAACTTCATGAATTTGTCGTCTGGTCAAGTGACCGGGGCAAGATGACTTATTATGCAATTTTTGCCTCCAATTTTATAAACTTTCAAAAACTACTATTAACACTAACTAAAGTAACACAAAATAAACACAAGTCGCAAAAAACTACTTCTAAAGAAGTAAAACTTGAAGCCATCCATTATGAGAAACCGAAAGTGAGGAATTTTTTTAAGCGCAAAAAGTAAACTTATGCGTATAAAATTGCGTTAATAATATTTAAAAAAACCAATTGGTGTTTTAAAATACAAGATGCAAATACAGTTTAGTTTTCACCTAACTTTAAGATCTTTTATTGAGTTGTTATATGAAAACCCATCTTGCCCCATTCGCCATGTATATATATATGCAAAATATTTTTTTGCATATATATATATATATATATATATATGCAAACTTTTAAAAAATAAACTTTTGCATATATATATACATATATGCAAAAGTTAATATAATTTTTCTCTCAATTTAATATAAAATGAATATAAAGTTTACTAAACATCTAAACATTAACTTTATATAGTTATTAAAGATAGAATTTTGATCGAAAGAAATGAATTGCTTCAAATTTTATTTTTTGATTACATTTTGAAAGTTAATCAAACAGACTTACCTTCTTCTAAACAATACACAATTATACTAAAATTAATGGGAAATTTTATATAAAATTTAAAAAAGAAACCTTATAATCATAACCGACAACGCAATTGCTTTGAAATTAAAGATGCAAGTTGAATCAGGTTTTTAGTTTTTCTAGAAAAATTAGAAGAATATTCCATTGAGTCAACTTATGATAACATAACATTTTAAAGTGAAAATAAAACACCTGTAAGAAAAAAAATTGATTGGGAACAATCAAGAAAAAGAACAAAAAGAAGAAAAAGTGAAAAAATGGGAATAAAAGATAATTATAATGAGTTGATTTTATTTGCTATAGTAAGTTCAAAGAAAAGTCTTGACAATGATAGTTTAAAAAACTCTTATTTATTAAGTACAACTTTTGTTCTTTTAGATCTTTCATTAGGAAATATTTCAGTTTGGATAAATCCCAAACCATCGTCAATTAGATTTTGTCAACGAATACGAGCTCAATATCTAGAAGAGTCTGAAATTATTTTGAAATTTGAGAAAGTAATTGCGCTATTGTATTATTGTATATGTGTGTAGAGTTGACAAAGCTAAAGCTAAATGAGGTTAAATGCAATGTGAATGAAATACTGCTTTTGCTTATTTAATGAAATATTTGTCTATTCAACATGTTAACTATTTGTGATTCTTTACTAGCAAAGCAAACTAAACTTAAAAAGCAAAAAAATGAACTATTTTATTTAATAAATGAGGTTCAAGATCTTTGTGGTATATTTTGACTAAATGCGCGACTTTGGCTCGCAAATCATAAGATCTTCAAGTACTAGCTTGAAAATCAAATCTATTATTAACAACACTGTATGCAGAGATTCTTTAAGTTACGGTTGATAGTAGCTTGCCAATAATTGGAGATGTATGTTTTTTTGTTTTTTCAAATCTTTCTAAAACCATTGACCATACCTGGAAAATAAGTCATGCCTCTAACTTACTCATACTTAAAAAAGTCTTTTGCGTGTCAGCTTTTTCAGTTTTTGGTTCAAATATACTGATGATAATCTTTTGAGTTGTTTATATCCTATTTGCATTGCATCTATTGCATCATAGTAAGCAGACCAACGTGCATCCGAAAGTTGTTTTTGGAGTAAGTCAAAAGCAGATTCCATCGGAATGTTAAATCAAAGAAAAACACAAACAGTTTTTGAATGAAATCAAAAAAATAAAATGCAACTAAACAGCTGTTAAAAGAATTTTAATCAAGAAAATTAGATTGTATATCTACAATATATAATTATTAAGGTAAACTGGTCTTAATGTGAAACATTTAGTGTTGAGTCTACTAAGACAAAATAATATTGTACATCTTTTATTTCTTGTATGACTTGCCTCATTAACTGATCAATTATAATTGAATAAATTTGTCACAATTTGTTATTGGAGAATAGGATATGTGGCCTCTACATTTTTTAGTATGTTGTTAAAAGCATTCTGCAATAAATGAATTATACTCTGCACCTCCAAACATTCTAAAAATATTGTCATTGTTCATAGATCTTATAAACTTGTCATTTTAAAAAGTATTTTTATGATTAACCACTTAAGTTATCAAAGTATTTGTAATTTTAGTAGATATTTTATTTGTATAATGTTTGTATCGTTTTAATGGGGACAAAGTAACTTATATCAAAGTTATTAACCTTGTTTTTGCTGGTATTTATATTAACTTAAGAAAACATTAGGATTTATAGTTTTGTAGAATACTACGTTTATGTTATTTTATTTTAATTTCTCTGCCCTAGTATTTTATATTACAGGTCTAACTTATTTCTTAAAATGCTTGTATAAATGCTCTTTTCTAGTTTAAACGTATTGAACGACTTATTTTACTCAAAAAAACCAACGCGTCATGGAACAGGAGTCCCCACAAAAATAACGGCCCTAAAAACTAAAGATAAAAAAATAGACTTGTTTTTTATTATTGGCGACTTAATTAGAAATACACAGACTTTATCTAAACAAAAATTTTTTTTTGTGAAAAATCAAACTTTCAGAAAAAAATTAATTTTTCATAATTGGTTTTAGAATTTTTTTAAAAGAAAATTCAATCACGGCTTATAATAGGAAAAAAAAAAATTTTTATAAACTACTTTTCCTTTACCCACATAGCGCTAAAACTCGCAAGTTTCAATTTTCTAAATATAATTTCTGGGAGTCACAGCCCAGAACTTCCCTATACTATGGGAGAACAGGTTTCCACATAACACAGGGACCCCACCAGGGTAAATCTGACTATCGATTAACAAATGACAAAACATTCAAATTAGATTTCATTTCCATAATTTAGAAATCGCAATCCAATAGTTTCAAGCAGAATAATGTATAACTATAAGTCAAAGTCAAGAAATTAACCTGGGCAATTTAACTATACAGAATTACTGAGCCGACCTTATTAAGCATGAAAATTAGAATAAAAACCTGTTGTCGAATAAATAACTATTTAAAACTATGCATTATTTGTTAAAACTATGATAAATTATATAGATCATATAAAAAAACAAAAATACATAAAAAAAAAAAAACAATGCTATGGTAATTATAGAGCATCTCTATAATTACTATAGTATTAAAAGACGTGTAATTAATGTATTTATATTATTTTATTTAGTAAAAAAGTATTAATTTTTTTACCTACAAAAACAAAAATGCTGACAAAAACAACTTCACACAAATGGGTATAAGCACCATTGCAAAAACCGATAAATATTCTACAAAGTAAAATTTTTTTTAAATTTAAATTATTTTTTTTTTACTATAAAGACTGCTATAAAATATTATTTTCAAAAATTCAACTAAAAAATGCTCCATTTGATTTCTAAGAAATTAATTATAAGATTACATAATGTTATTTATAGAAATTTACAAAAATTAAATTTTTATAAAAAACTGCGTTTTGGTGTTTTAAAAACTCATCGAGATATTAACGTTTATGCTGCTAAGGCAAAAGAGATTAGCATTTAACTCAAAAAATACGTTATTATAATTATCATAATTTATTGCTAATACTTGGAGTTTTAGGTGTGGAGCAGTATTGCAGCCTTAGGGCAGCAGTTAAAGCTCCGTAGAAGTTAATGCCCATAGATGCTATTGATGCCATTTAAGTGACATTGTCGAGAAAGACGTATTCAAAATGTTTTTTTAACTTTAACTTTTTTGAATACGGTAGTTTTCAATATTTTTCATTAATAACAGTTTTCAAAATGATTGCAAAATAACGTTAGGCCATAAGATCTAATTTAAGGTGAAAATCAGATGACCATTATCACACTACTACTGGTAACATGTAATCCAATGCATCTTACCACATGTCTTACTACTTCCAAGTACTCACTTTTCTGGGCAAAGACCAGGAGAAGAATAAAAAAAATATAATTTTAACAAATTTCAACTAGACTCGACTATAGAAGTAAGCTAAAAATGTTTCTGAGCCAGTCTATTATCTTTTCTTCGTTTATTCGGCTCGCGTAGGTATAAACCTGTGTTACATTGTTTTCTGGCCAGAATAAAGAACGTCGAATCTTATTAAGTAGTTTATCCTTTTAATTTAATAACTGCATTTTTACTAACATTTTAGAGAACCAGTATAAATCCATATGCTTATTTAGAAATAATATTAATCCATTGTTAGAGATCCTAATCACTCAGGCTTCTCTAGCTAAAGGTTTTATTGCCTCAAAAATATTTCTGTTACAGTCTTAGAGAAGTGTTGTCTAAACAAGTACTTACCTGCATTTTGTTTTCCTGTTTGCTAAAAAATAACAACAGAGGTTTAAAGTTTAAAGAAATCTAGGAATCACTCTGACCCTTCTAAACAATCATCAAATCTTTTCACTAAGCAAAGTCTTTTTTAACAAATCTTTAATACTTCAACAACTTACTCTCTGACAACTAACACAGATTTCAATAAAAAACTGATTTATAAATCTGTGAGACTATTGCTCATAATATATGAAAGTCTTAATAAAAGGGTTAACGTGGTATTTTTATTATAAGCTTTCCTTATACATGGTGTGAGAATATTTTTGAAATTATTAAATTATGAAATTTTTTTAACATTTTTTTAAAGTTACCGTTAATTGACAACAATTTCTTTCGTTACCACTAACTTTTGGGTTTCCAAAAGTTAGTGGTAAATGTCTTTGTGTTGTTTCTCATTTGTATTTTTAATCTTCTTGATATTCTTACTGTTAAAGTGGTACTTTTTCTAGATTACTAAATACTCCAGTCTAGGCTAAAAGTCATCATTTTTAATGGCTTAGAACTGCCAATTATGAATGTGATTTGTAAAATTGTGAAGCAGTGATTTTGTTAAATCGTGAAGCTTGCAGTTGTTGATGAATCTGAAGATAAATTTAAAATAACCAAAAAATTGTTTATTTGTAAAATTTATTGCAATATTGTTTATACTTTTATATTGATTAATGGCAACACTTATATTCAGTTTTCGATTTTACTTCTTCTTGAATAGTTCTCACTTTCTCATGGTAACCATAAATAGAGTTCATTGGAAAGTTAGGAACTGCAAAGGTTGTCTAACTTTATTGTGCTTATAATTTATTCACTTCTGATTTTGTTTTCTTCGTATCTAAATATCTTTTTTAGTTTGTATTGAATACTGTTATCTACAGATAACAATATTCAATACAAATTATCAGTATTAAAATAAAAACATATTTACAACATATTTATTTAAATAAATGTAGTTTGTTTATTTATATTAAAATATTTAGTTTTTACTGGAATACTGTTATCATATTTGTGATTTTACTGGAATGCTGTTATCATATTTGTGTTTTTACTGGAGTAGGGTTATCTGTTATTTGTGTTTTTTCTTAAATAATGCTCATACGTTATTAGACAAGATCTAAAAAACAAATTTAATTTTATCTGTTTTACTTGTCAAGCTTGAACCTCTACCCCATCCTAGTTTAAATACTACCACAATTGCATGGTCAATTTGTTTTCTAATTTTTTTTCTTTGAACACCAGTGCTTTTTTTAAAATCTCACAAGTTTATATTTTCCTAACTCATGCAGTTCATAGTTTTTAATTTGTCTTTGCATTCAACCTTTCTAAACATATCTAAACTAAAAGTGTTTGGTACTAGGTATCATATATATAGTTTAAAACGTCAAAATATGTATATATATATATATATATATATATATATATATATATATATATATATATAATTTTTTTTTTTTTTTGATAATTGTTTTAGGTGCCCTAAAAAGATATAGAGGTCTTGTTACAGAACACCGCGGAAGCAGATCTAAAGGTCTTGTTACAGAACACCGCGGAAGCAGATCTAAAGGTCTTGTTACACCGCGGAAGAACGTTTAACTAGGAGGTTCTTCTTTACCAGTTGCGTGAATATATATTTATCCAAACCCTAGGTCTCTTGCATCTAAAGCAAGCGCTCTAACTACTATGCTGCGGCTACTCGTATATGATTATATGCTTTTCATTGAAATAATATATAATTTTAATTCAAATATGTCATGATAAGTAGTCAAAATTAGCATGAGCATAGTCAAAATCGCCAAAAAATTTCACTTAATTATTAACTATATTAAAACTTTAACTAATTATGTTTAATTAATTATAACTATAAATTATAACTCAATTATTAAAAAAAAAAAGAAAAAGAAAAATTAACTTAATCATTCTAAGCGTAATTTTTTTCTTATCTGTAATAGATTAATTGTAGATAATAAAAAGTTAAGTTTTGTTAAACCATTTAGATTGAACTTTTTTAAAACTGATTTTGTATCCATGGATATCCATAAGAACGTGGTTGCACAGATACACGCCTACATAAAATAGCGAAAATTATAATAAAGAACAATAAATACTCACAACATCGTCAATCATAAAAGCAGTAGTATCTTTACATCAAAATAAAAATTTTACTACAAATTATTTCACAACAATATCGACCTCAGCTTTCACTAAAACGCAACTTTTGAAATTAAAGATTCTTTATATATAAAAGCGGAAATCTATTATTAATTAATAAAAAGAATAAATATGTTTAACGTTTGACAGTTTAATAAGCAGTCCAATGTTCAGAGAGTGAAAGAGGAGGTTATATTAGAAATTTATAAATAATATTTGGAACGCAAATTTGTGCAAAAATATTTTTAAAAAGTAGAATCTTTATCTTTTCAGTGAAAAAAAAGTAGGGCGGATAAATTTTTCGCATAGCTTAGGAAAAAAATCATTAAAGAAGTAATATTATTTTTTTAAACAATTTCCCCGTAGTATAGGTTCTAAATGATGTTAAGTGCATTCAGTAGATTATCTTCATAGTATACGGGGAAAATGCTTAAAAAAAAACGGTTTCTATTTGCTATTTTAATTTTTTTTTAACTCATTTCTCAAATTAAATATAATTAAATGCATAATTGTTCGATACAACATAATTGTTTGTTTTTTAAAACTGTTTGTTTTTGATTTTGTTGCGAACTTATTTTGTGGCGCCGTTAGTTAACCTTTTTTCAAACTTGAAGCGAAATGTTCAAGAAAATTAAAAAAAAAAACTATATCGGTTTTTTATTTTTTATTTGGTTGCTAAAGTATTTAAAGGAGTCATTACAGTCTTGTCACAGAGCACAGTGAAGTGTAATTAAACTTAGAAATTCATGCTTCTTATCTCACTGATTTTGCAAATATGGCATTGAAATGCGGACCTCTCAATTTTGAAAAAACTCTCCGACCACATTCACACATACTCACACAAACATACACAAATATTTAATAGGTTGTTTAAACTTTTTTTAAATTTTTGATTTCGTAAGTTACGGCTTTTTTACTACAGATGACCACAAGCGAGTCTGGTCAAAGCACATTTTATCAAATTCTTACGATCATAGCACAGACAGAGCCGTCTTAAGTCAATCTGGGTCCCTAGGCTAGACTTAAATTGGGGGGCTCTATTTTTCTAATAAAAATGAAATAAAGATATTAATATGGTAACATTTATTAGAACAATAGTTTTATTTATATATGACGTTTTTTTGCTTTTATTCGTGAGAATTCTTTAAAAAATACATCAAGACCAATATTTAGAAGAACATGAACGACAGACAGTTCATTCTTTTCTCCAATATAGTAGATTGGAGCTTATTTTTGATCAGTTCTAGTTTTGAAAATGATAGCTCACCAGAGCAATTTGAGATCATCATTAAAAGAAAATTTCTCAAGGAAATTTCAACATCAGGAAAGGTTGATTGCAAGTGGTCCTTCTTTATTGTGTAGTAAAATATGGTGAATCAATCAATGTTCATCTTTCGAAATATAATGCTTAAATTGAGAATTATGATGAGATTCAAAAAAAAGTTCATTTTCATTTTAGTTTTTTTTATAGTTTGCACTAAATTAGAACAACAATCTTCCTTGGAATTCCATTTCTTCAGATTTGCCATCAAAAAAGGCCAACCGTCATACGTCATAGGTCGGCTGCTTTTCTTTGTTCTTTTTAAAGTATCTTTGTATTAAGTGTTTAGAAGCATCATTTTGGCTTTTTTTTTATACTCCACACACTAACTTTTTAAATCTTTAATAAAATTCAATAATGACTTTAGAATAAGTACTGCAACATTCAGTTTAAAATTATCGTCCTGCAAAATCTCAAATGTTTTATTATAATGACACAAAGTGTCTTTCCACAAAGTTGTCAAAAAGACTCTGAAAAAATCTCAATACTGGTCATTTCCTTTAAAATATTTTGGGCATCATTTAGGGTTTCTTTTGTCTGACTTCTGTCTTTAATCAAAGATTCTAGAGCTTTTTGAATCTCATCATAATTCTTATGCAAAACAATGTAACAACATCTTCACATCTAATTTTTTTTCCACTGCTAACGAAGAACTAAAGCACTTCAATTTGATGCAGAGAAAATGTTGTAGAATTATTGAACAAAGTAATAATTGCTTGTAGGCAACATCTAGCAGTACTATTGTTAACAAGATTTAAAGAATGTTCATCACAAGGAATAAAAAATGCGCAACCACTGTTGTCATTTATCCTTCTTTGCAGCCTTGAATACTGTCCTGCCATGTTTGATGCATCATCATACGAGTGCCCAATCAGATATTGAAATGTTATTTTCTTGAAAATTTCAAAACAATCATTTTCAAAGGTTTCGCTCTATGCTCGTGAATGGAGGCATATTGTAAAAACCACTCGATTGGTGCTGCATCCTAAACATATGGAACAGAAAATGTTAACCGATCGACATAAGACGAGTCTAAATTTGATTCAATACTGATGGAGTAGTATTTTGCTTTTTTTAGTTCTAAAATTATTTCAACCGATACTTTATTTCTCAAGAAAGATATAAATTATTGCATGCAGGTAAAGAATCGACAATTGAAAAAGAAACAAAACAAGGAAATAAAAGAATTAAAGATTACTATTATAAAGTTGTTACAAAATAAAAAAGTTCGAGATTCGAAAAGCAGTAGTTTTAAAAATATTTTTGCATTGAATACTGCAGAATTAGGTGCCAATCGATTAATAAATTGCATGTAAAGCTTTTCATGTTACTAACATTGTTTGGGGGAGATTTAATTTATCATATTATAACGCTGCAACTTTGTATTCAAAGGATATTTTATAATTTCCTTAAAATTGTCTAAATCTATATAATTATTTACTAGTAATTAAAGAAGATATATACAATAAACTGTATTTAGCAGCAGTGCGGGGAATCCATTTTTGCTAACTTTAAAAATGAAGCCCTTAGACTTGTGTAAAAGTGCATCATTGATTATGATCTCGAAAACATCTATATTCTGTCGAAGTGATCTTAAAGATAAAATAAATTCATAAAATTTTCTACGAAATATTTTTTGAATAGACTACTGAAACTGATTTAAACATTTTAACACATTAAAAACGATTTGTCATTCTTTGAAACACTGATTTAAAAATGATTTTTCATTCTTTAAAACACTGATTTAAAAATGATTTGTCATTCTTTGATAGTTTTTCTGTAAAGATAATCTGGTGATTGACTTTCTGGAGGAATATATTGATATCCTACTTATTATATAAGTAAAATGTCCCAACAACAAATAAAAGGTCAGAAAGTGACTTGGATCTTTTAATTTGTGCAAAACCTAATGCCAAAGTACAAACTATATAAGCCTATACTATGTGATATAAAAACAAAAAATTAGATTGGTTTGATAAAAAGACGTCAAATAAGTGTAACTCATTGCTTGAAAAAGCCTTAAGTAACTTTTATAAAATAAAAAATAAATACAAACAACGTCGTTTAGATTTAAAGCTTAAAATGAGTGAAAAAATGTCTAAAATATAAAGAAATATTAAGAGCATATTAATAGACTTAACAAACTATGAGTTTTTCAGTAATTTACCAACAATTATTAGAACAAGAAGTTTTTTAGAGCTCTTTGAGAGAAAGAAAATACTTTGAGAGAGAGAGAAAGAAGAAACTAGATATTTTGATTATGAAATAGAAAGAAGAATTATGTGAACATTGAAGAATGCAAGACGCAATTTTTTTTTTTTTTTTTTAACATCTTTGCTTCCAACAAGGCTGCAAGCAACCACTAATTAGTGTTGGAAGTTACTGGAAGAGAAAAGATGAAGATTGTAGAGCAAGATAACGATTAACAGACGACTTAAAATATTGCAAATTATATGAATCAGGAAAGCAAGATGAAGGAAGTGAATTCCAAAGAACTGATATTCGAGAAAAAAAAACTAGACGAATAAGAGTTTTTGGAACACTTAGGAACAGTAACAGAAAAAGGATGACACTTAATTGAATGACGAGTAACACGAGAATGAATTTTAGTAGATAGCACAAGAGACGTTAGCTCTTTAGAGCAGTGCCAGTAGTAGAAAAAGGAGAGTTCTAGCTTATTTTCATTTTCAACCATATTTTCAACCATAAATTAATATTAATATAGGGTTCAATGTTAACCATATTGTGTATAAATTATTTCAACAAGAAATAATTTTTTATTTTAAAAAATTGATTTTTTAAAATAAGTGTTAATTTTTATTTCTTGTTATGAAATATTACGAAAAATTCTTGCATGACGTCATAGGTCACGTGACTTTTTCTAATAATAAATATTATCTGGTGTTTTTAACTTTTCTTCTTCTAATCTTTCCTTTTCTAACTTTTCATATTGTAATTTAAATTTATTTTGTAAATAACGAGCTAAACTTAATCTTCTTTTATAACTTCCTAATTTAATATCTTTACTTGTACAATCCATTTTTTTAATTTATGTAAAGAAATATATTTTCAATTTTTTTTCTTGCTTCTTATTTATACCCTAATTCATGTAAATATTTAATAATTTCAATATTTCCATTTTCTGCAGCGCAATTAATTGCAGATTCATCACATTTATACCCTAATTCATGCAAGTATTTTACTACTTCAAGGTGACTATGTTCTACAGCACAATTAATTGCACATTCAGAACCTTTATACCCTAATTCATGTAAATATTTTATTACTTCAAGATGATCATTAAATACAGCAAAATTAACTGCCCATTCTGTTCCTCTATATCCAATAGAATGTAAATATTTAATTACTTTAAGATGATCATTTAAAGCAGCATTATCAATTGCATTTTCTGTTCCTCTATATCCTATAGAATGTAAATATTTAATTACTTTAAGATGTCCATTTAAAGCAGCATTATCAATTGCTTTTTCTGTACCTTTATACCCTAATTCATGTAAATATTTAATTACTTCAAGATTTCCATTTTTAGCAGCATTTTCAAAAGCATAACTAATTGCTAATTTATCACCTTTATACCCTAATTCATGTAAATATTTAATTACTTCAAGATGACCTTCTTTTGCAGCATAAACAATTGCATCTTTTGTTCCTCTATATCCTAATTCATGTAAATATTTTAGTACTTCGAGATTTCCTCCTTTTGCAGCAAAATTAACTGCTTTTTCTCTTCCTTTTTCTCCAAATCGAATTAATAATTGAATTAAATAAAGTTTACCTATTTTTGCAGCGAAATCAACCTTATTACCTTTTTTATACCCATATTGTTTTAATAATGTAGTAATATAATATACCTGAGTTGAAGGTTTTATTAAAAAATTATTATTCTCAATATTATTTTCTAATTCCATTCTTTTTTATATATACAAGAAAATTATTTAACTCATTTTCAATTTTTTTTTTTTTTTTTTAATGCGCATGCGCTGGGATTTAAGCATAGTAGAAGCAATGCTTAACTTTATCACTACTAGAATTTATATTCACTACGTGTATCAAAAGTTTAAATATATCCATTTTGAACAGCTAAATTATTAAAAAATTCTGAACCTTTATACCCTAATTCATGTAAATATTTTACTACTTCAAGGTGACCATTCATTGCAGCGTATTCAATTGCTTTTTCTGTTCCTCTATACCCTAATTCATGTAAATATTTAACTATTTCAAGGTGATCATTTTCTGCAGCATAATTAATTGCAAATTTTGTACCTTTATATCCTAACGAATGTAAATATTTTATTACTTCAAGACGACCAATTTCTGCAGCGAAATCAATTGAATCTTCTGCTCCTCTATACCCTTTTTCAATTAAATACTTTACAACTTCAAGGTGATCTTTGTGTACAGCATAATAAATTGCAAATTCATCACATTTATACCCTAATTCATGTAAATATTTTATTACTTCAAGGTGACCATTTCTCAAAACACATTCAATTGTCCATTCATCACATTTATACCCTAATTCATGTAAATATTTTACTACTTCAAAGTGTCCATTTTCTGCAGCATAATTAATCGCACATTTGTCACATTTATACCCTAATTCATGTAAATATTTTATTACTTCAAGGTGACCCTTCATTGCAGCGCAATTAATCGCACATTTGTTACATTTATACCCTAATTCATGTAAATATTTTAGTACATCTTTTGTACTTTTTTCACCTAATTGATTTAATAATTTAATAAGATCATTTCTACCTATTTCAGCAGCAAAATCAACCTTATTACCTTGTTTATACCCATTGTTTTTTAATATTATAGTAATATAATATATTTGAGATGAAGGTTTTATTAAAAATTTATTATTCTCAATATTATTTTCCATTCTTTTTATATATAAAAGAAAATTATTTATATCATTTTCAATTTTTTTTTATTTTTTTAAAAAAAATAAAAAGATTATTAATTCTATAGTCTAATTATCAAATACAACTTCATCTTCATCATCTTCATTATCATATTCAGTAGTTTCTGTAATTTCAGTAACTTCAGTAGTAACTGTAGTAACTTCAGAATCTTCTTCATCATTTTCATCTTCATCTTCTTCATCTTCTTCATCTTCATCTTCAGTCATTTCAATATCATCACTATATTCAGTAGTTTCTGTAATTTCAGTAACTTCAGTAGTAGTAACTGTAGTAACTTTAGAATCTTCAGTCATTTCAATATCATGAGTATCAATAATATTTAATTTTTCTTCTATTAATCTTAATCTTTCATCTATTAATTTTAATAATTCTTCAAGTTTATTTTCCATTCTTTTTATATACATAAGAAAATTATTTAACTCATTTTTTTTTTGATTTAAAATATTTTTACAAATAATAAAAATAAAAAATGAATGATGATAAGATTAATGAAATATCTGAATTTCAAAAAGAATTTAAACTTTTTGAAGAAATATTAAAATTTGAATTTGAAGAATCAGATTCTGAAGATGACACTTATTATACATCTGATGAAGCTACTTATTTTACATCTGATGATGAAGATGAAGTTAAAGAAAAACCTATAGTTCCAATTCCTTTAAAAACAGTTCAAATCATGGAACTGCATAAAGATAAGCTGAAATGGATTAATTATGTTCCAACTTATAATGTTATTAATGATGATTATCCTGCTATAGATAATACTTCTTTTAAAAAACATTACAAAAAAAGAAAATTTAGTTTTGGAAAACCATTTAATGTAGATATTAATTTTACTGAAGATGGAAAACCTTCAACAATTCATTTTGTAGAGAAACTACCCATTTTCTGTAAAAATATTTTAAATGATAATTATTGTCCTTTTGGAAGAAAATGTAAATACAATCATGATATTCCTTATTGTAATACTGTAAAAGAAAGACTCATATGCACTAAATCTTCATGTCAATATAGGCATATTCATATTTGCTATGAATACACTAAATGTAAGAATAAAAAGTGTAGATTGTTTCATCCTAAAAAGTCAGAATTATTAAAATTAAGAAAAGCTAAAACTAAATTATGCAAATATATTCTTGATAAAAAAGAATGTAAAAATATAAATTGCAAATATGCTCATTCTATAAAAGAAATTGAAGAAAATGTAGAAATTTGTCATTATAATCCATGTAAATTAGTAGAGAGTAAATTAAAGAAAAATAAAAAAGGAGAAAAAATATTAATATATAAAAATGTTAATGATAATAAAAAGTGTAATTTTTTACATCAAGGTGAAAGCATTTTAAATTATATTGCTAGAACTTTAAAAACAAAATAGATATGAGGATTACAGAGTGATTTAAAAAAATCTTTACATTTATAAAATGTATAATAGTAGAATGTTTTTATATTATGAAAAGCATGAACAATATAGAATAACTTTTAATATTAATTCAGATTTAGAACATAGAGCAATAAATGATAGACATATTAAAGTATTCGCACAAGAAGATTTTACAGTAAAATCAAATTCATATGAAAACATTTCTTTAATGTGTGGAGTTGAAATAGATAAAGGACATGTAATGATTTCACTTGCAGAAAATTATAAACCATCACTAAATTTACTAAATTCTGTTGTAATAGAGTCTACTGATGATATTAAAATAACTTTATATAATTACGATAAAAAAGATATAAACATTAAAAAAGGAGATTTGTTATGTTGTATATCAACTTATAATGGTATTTTAAATGCAAATTATATATCGCATAGAGATGCTTTAGAACATGTTAGACCACATAATGACACAGGAACTAAACAGAAAAGTGATAAAGAATCTGTAAAATCTTTATTATCAAGTATAGGAGAAGTAATTAAAGAAACTATATATGATGAAGATAAAGCTATATTTGATTTTGGTAAAAAGTGATTTAGCGAAGCATTGATCACAAAAGTGATTTAAAACAAATTTTTCTTTATAGAAAAAAGAAATGCTATGTAATAATGGATATAATAATGAATGTAAGCAGCTTTATCCAGATCTAAACCAGTTTTCAGAAAATCCATCTGCACCACCACAATCTATAGATCATAACTTTAGATTACAAAAGATTAGTGAAATTCAAGATAAAATAGAATGTGAAAGAATTAGAAGAGAGATTTTAAGTAAAAAATATCACAGAGCTGTAAGAATCATTTCAGCAGTTGATAATACATTACTAGCAAGCACTATGACATTAGGAGCTGTTGGTATTGGTTTTTTAACAACAATAGTTGGTACACCAGTAGCTATTGCATGTGAAGGTGCAGCATTAGGTATGGGTGTATTATCACTAATAGGATCACAAGCTATTAAAAAATTAACAATAAAAGCAGAAAAGCATGAAAAGATTAAAGTACTAGCTGATGCAAAACTAAATACAATAAGTAATCTTATTTCTAAAGCTATATCAGATCAATATATTGATGATGCAGAATTTAATATGATACTTTCAGAACTTGAAAAGTTTCAAGCTATGACTGAACAAATTAGAACAAAATCTAAGAATGATATAGATGAACAGACTAAAGAGTCAATATTTAATAAAGGAATAGAAAAAGGCAAAAGTGATGTCATTGAAGTGTTAAATATGAGATTTAACAAAAATCAGAATATAGGAGTGATGAATAATACTCTTAAGAATTAAATAAAAAAACATATATTATGTATTTACTTGAACATATATTATGTATTAAAAACATAATATATGTTGATTTTAATCCTTTTAGGGATCTGATAATCACATTGTGATTTAAAAAAATTATTGCATATATAAAAATGTATGCAAAAGCTACAGATATTGATGCAAGATTAAAAATAGCAAAAGAACTTGATGGGTTAAAGAAAAGTGTTTATCAAGATTCTATTAATGAAAAGTTAGGCTATGATGCTTTACAGACTAACTTGGAAAAAATGTACAAACCAATAATAGATAGTCAATCTGGAATAAAAGAAGGTATATCTAAATTAGAAAATAAAGCTAATCAAATAGCAAATACTTTTTCAAATTATCCTGCTTTACTAGATTCTGAAACTAAAGCAATCATGCCACCTGAAGTTGTAGATAACATGAGATTAGGACCTATCGCAACAGAATATTTAAAGTTATATACTACTAAAAATAGTAAAAAAGTATCAGATGACATATTTGGTATACATTACAATGAAGGTAATGAAAAATTTTACATTGGTAAAAAACCAATAACTATTGAAGGTAATGATATAATTATTGAAGGTAAAAAATACACTGGTACACCTGGTCTTTGGGAAATCATAGTAAAATCTCATCCTGTTAGATATACTAACGATGATCGTAATAAGTATAATAAGAAATATTAAATCAAACAGATGCAATTCGCTCTGATTTAAATTTAGCTAAACCAAGATCATCTAAAGGTTATAAGTACACTAATGTAATAAAACCTATTTGGGAAGAGATGATTGGAAAGTCTGGAAAAGGAGTTGTCATTCTTCCTAGTGATCCAAATGCACTATTTGATATGCTTAAATTACGCTTAGCTGGTTTACAAGCAGGAAATACTGGAACAAGAAATGAGATTGTTGCTATTTGTGATGAGTTGTTACGACAGGGTCAAATAGACGATGATGAGTATAAAGCATTACAGAAAGCAATAACTTAAAGTGAATTAAAAAAATTATTTTATATATAAAAAATGACAAAATACTATGATACTCTTATCAATCTTTCAGATAGTCAGAAAGAGAAAATTAAAAAAGCAATTGAATCTGATACTAATGCCATTATAAAACTATCATATGAAGATCTAAATGGTGAACATAAAATAGCTTTAACAGAATCACAAATAAACAGAATGAATGCAGCCTATTTAAAAAATAAGGGTATAACACTTTCAATGAGTAGAGCACAACTTAAACATAATGCTAAAAAAAATGGTGGATTTCTACCTTTAATAGGATTAGCTGGATTAATTGGAAGTGTAATTGCAAAAGCTGCTCCAGTAATTGCAACAGCAGCATTAACAGGAGTAGGTGCAGCTGCTGGACATGCTATAGTTAATAAAATTGCTGGAAATGGTATTATTTATGGAAAAAAGAATGGTTATGGATTTAAAATTAGAAAAGTAGGAAAAGGAGTATTTTTAAACCCATGGAATGGTAGTTATAATTATTTAGATGGATATTATTCTAAAAATGGAAATGAATATTCATCAGTAGGTAGAGGATTGTTATTAGGAGAAAATTCTCCATTTAAGAATATACCCTTATTAGGTCTTCTTCTTTAGGTTCCTTTGGAACTTAGGCTTAGCTAAGTTCTGAAAGAACCAATGCTTCATAAAAATATATATTTTTTAAAAAATATATATTTATCGATTCCACAAAGAAGTTGGATAATAAAATAAATCTAATCCACTTCTATACTTTTCATTTAATAGATCAGAAGACAAATCTATAACAACAAATCCATGCTTTTTTGACCAAGCTTCATTACAAAACTTTTTAAATTCATCTAATTTCATATCATTTGAAACATGGTCATTATAAATATGATTTACATTTTTAGAATCTTGTTTAAACAAGCATATAAAATTTGCATTTTTTCTTATCGTTCTCCTAGGCAACTCAAAATAATTTTGTGCCAAGTAGAAACAATCTACATTGCTATGTCTTCCTCTTATATAGTACTTTTCACACTTGTTTTGTTTTGTTAATTGTAAATCATCGAATATCATTAAATTATTTTTAATACAGTTAAGATTTTCAGGTTCTGGTACATCATCTGCTGTTTCAAAAAATTTACACTCTATATCTGTTTTATCTTTTAAATTTCTTGAAATGTCTTTAATAACAAACTCTGGATTTACATTGTTTTTATTTATTTGATCTTGCAACTCAAATAGTTTAAGAATAACTTCTTTTGGTAATTTATTTTCAAAAGTATTTTTTAATATTTTGTATTCAGGTTGAAAAAGAGATTTTCCAAAAACTTGTAAATTATTATAGTCTAACCAACCAGGTCTTAATAGCAAGTTTAATAATAATGTTGTTTTTCCACAACCTGATTTTCCAACAATAATCCCTCTTATACTTTTAGGTAATAACTCATTATTTTGACGTTTACTTTTATTTACATTCCATGATAAATCTATAATTTCCATTTTTTATTTACGAAAAGTATTTTTTAAATTAAATAAATTAAAATACATATATAAAAAATGTATTGCGTTAAATGTAAAAACAAAACAGATACACTCAACTTACAACATGCTGTGAGTAAAAACAAAAGAAATATGCAATGTGGAAATTGTGCAATCTGCGGAACAAGAAAATGTCAATTTAAAAAAGAAGCTAAAAAAGGAGGTGATTTGGTAGAATCTATTAATAAATTTACAAGTAATAGAAAATTACCTTTGCAAAAGTTTCCAGGTGAAATGCATATACCAGGTATGAACTTTGCAGGACCTGGTACTAATTTAGATGAAAGATTAACTTCTACTGAGATGCCTAAAGAATGGAGCATGCCTGTAGATAGAGTTGATAAAACAGCTTATATTCATGATCTTGCTTATAAACATTTTCCAGATAAAGAGAATAGAAATTTAGCTGATAAAATAATGCTTGAACAAATGGATGCTATACCTAATCCTACACCTCGTGAAAAATTAGAAAGAAAGATTATAAAACCTATCATATCTGCTAAAGTAAGGTTTGGTATGGGAAATAAAGAACCAATAAGTATTAAAGAATTATGTCAAAAAAACTACCAACGCAGAGGAAAAAAAGCAAAAACCTGAAATGGACTGATGAACTTGCAAATGAACTTCATAAACCTGTTATAAAACATTTTAGAAAAAGAAAAGTAGTTGCAAATGGAATAGATGAAATATGGGCTGCTGATTTAGTTGATATGCAAGCTTATTCTAAATTTAATAATGGTATAAAATACTTATTAATGGTCATTGATATATTTTCAAAGTATGGATGGATAATTCCATTGAAAAGTAAGACAGGAATTGAAGTTGCTGATGCATTTAATAAAATATTTAAAGATAGAAAGTGTATGAAATTATGGGTTGATAAAGGTTTAGAATTTTATAACAAGCATGTTAAAGCATTAGGTGTTCATCTCTATTCAACTGAGAATGAAGAAAAAAGCTGTGTAGTTGAACGATGGAATAGAACAATGAAAGAAAAAATGTTCAAATACTTTTCTGCTAATTCTACTAGAAAATACATTGATGTTTTAGATGAAATGGTAAATCAATACAACAACACAAAGCATTCTTCAATTAAAATGACTCCAGTTGAAGCAAGCAATAAAAAGAATGAAAATAAAGTTTGGTTAAATTTAAATGGTAAAGTGATATCAGAGTCTCCTCATCCCAAGTTTACAATAGGTGATAAAGTAAGAATAATTAAAAAGAAAGAATTATTTGAAAAAGGGTATACACCAAGATGGACTGAAGAAGTATTTACAGTATCAAAAGTTCAATATACTAATCCACCCACTTATAAAATAACTGATTATAATAATGAAGAAATACAAGGTACTTTTTATGAACAAGAACTTCAAAAAACAAGTCAAGAGATATTTAGAATTGAAAAGGTTATTAAAAAACAAGGTAATAAATCATTAGTAAAGTGGTATGGGTATCCTGATACTTTTAACTCATGGGTTAATAATACAGAATTGAAAAATATTTGACAAAGCCCGAATCACATAGTGATTTAAATTTTTTTTACTATTAAAAAAATGAACAACTCAAATGTAAATGTGAATATATGTGTAACAGCTACTTCTGGTAATGCTAATACAAATACCACTGTAACAACAACAACTTCAAATTACAACTCTAGCAAATGATGTAAGATAAAATTTATATATTTTTACAAGAAAATTAAAAAAATTGAAAATGATATAAATAATTTTATTTTATATATAAAAAGAATGTCATATGTAGATATTGAAAATTTTGATGAAGCAAATTTATATGTAAAAGAAATAAAAAAATTTAATAAACCTGTTCAATATCAAAAAATAGTAATTGAATACAAATATAATGATAAGCTTTCAGAACCTTTAAGAGTAAAAACTCCAAAATTGTTATCATATGAAGTTTGTGAAAATAGAGACATGAAAACAAAAGAACTTACAGGATACTCAATTCCTTTTGTATGTGAAAATGATATATTTATCGCAATTATTGAAGCTATTGAAAAATTTTGTAGAAATAAAGTTATTGAAAATGAAGCAACGTTAAAAAAAGGGGGTATGAAAAGCTTAAATATTAACAACTTGAATATTTTAAAGTATAGAAATGATGATTTTAAGGCATCTCCAGTTATATATGCAAAAATACCAACAGATTATAAAAGTAAAAAGATGGATCAAGTATTCAGAAATAAAAATGGTGATATTTTAGGAGAAAGTCTTATTAAAAAAAGATGTGATGTTGTTGGATGCTTAGCAATTGAAGGTATATATATAGGATCAATGATTCAATCTATTCAAGTAAAATTATTAGATGCAGTTGTATCTAAAAATGAGTATAAGATAGAAAGATTTTATATTAAAGATGTAGACTTAGAAAGCGAAG